TAACAAGACATGAGTCCATCTGGCCCCCTAAAAAATATTTACAACATTATTGATTTTATTCCCCAGACTGTCTTTTCTATCCCTGAGGCCATACTGTAGTTACCAATTTATGTTGTCTCGTCAAAACTTTTAAATGTAACAGTCTACATCTCAAGATTTTTAAAATGTGTAATTTAAACTATACAACAAATATGATTAGCACAAATGACTTTTAACTCCCATAAATAAAAGAGCAGCTATATAAAATTATGGTATTGTTCTTAAGTAGATCTTTGTGTTTTTATGTGTTTTAATAAAGACATTTTTAAATTCCTGCTGAAATGAGTATAAAAACATACACCCTGAAGGCTCACAAACTTTGGTCAGAAGGTTAATCACCAAAAGTCATAGAACACGACAAAACTTTTTAGGATATTTTTGTTATAAGAAAGATGATTTATAGTCAATATGAATATAAGAAACAAAAGGTTACATTTATAAAGCGAAACATACATGTTTTCTATCTTTGGGCTTAATTAAAAAAGGCTTTTTCCCTTCATTTTGGCAAAGATCAGAGAAGTTTTAAAATATGCAGTCTCTTTTTAACTGACTCTGAGAAAAGATAACAGTGTCTTCATTATCTTCAAAACGAACTAGATGCTAGACAGCTCCACGTACCCAGAGGAGCTGGGGTGGAAGACACTGCGGCAGTAGCAGCAGCAAGTTCCGAAGGATTCGGTGGAGGAGTTCCAGGGGGTGTTGTCTCTATTCCACTCTCTTCCATCATTTTTCTTCAACTATGGTGTACTATAAAAATATAAAAATGTAATAAGTATCACACAGTAGTCAAATGTTTATTTTTAAAGGTTATATTGTTAAGAGAGTAATCTAAAAGAATAACCAGTAAGGGACAGATGTCTGTCATTACATTTATAATGCCACTTATTTCCAGATGAAGGGTCTGTCAAAATTCCTAAGAAAAAAGTCTGTGAGAATATTAAACATGCAAACAATCTGTGGCATTTTCACATATGTAATTTATAATTGGGAAATAATTTTATATTAACTATATAATTATTCATTATAATTTTGTTAACTATATAATCAATCATCCAATATATTTCAAATAGTACATTACTAATTTAATTTCTGTCACATGAATGAATGTTAAGGTTTATATCTAGGTTCCAGTCATTATTACATTTAAAATAAAAATAAATTACTTAAGTATTTTTGAAACACTTCCTTCCTCCCCATAAAGCGTTGTATGTGGGCTACTCCTGTTAACATTAAAAAATAATAAAATTTGCTCAATTCTCGGTTTTCCTAGTTCACATTTTCAAACATACCCAGTAATGGCTAAATATGTCTCAGGGTTTAGAAAAGTTAACTGTAGCAAAAATGCCACTAGATAGCAGGGTCCTAACAGATGATAATGGATTACAAAATATGGGAAAACGCCTTTAAAAATTTCATATTTTCAAAGCCTGTCTCCAGTATAAACTTATAACTTCTAAATACACCAAATTTATTTTTGATGTTTTTACTCATTTAATATTCGCTAAAGGTCAAGTGCTTGTTCAGCACTGTACTGGTGACTCTGGAAATACAACGGACACAAAAGCAGGATACTGACAACCCAGTATAAGAGTTAATCAAAGAATAATACCAAGTACAATAAATTGTACCTTGTAGCTGAGACCCACAGGATGCACCGGATTTATCAGGCCAGGGAAAGGAGATAAGGAAAGCAGGTTCTAGAAAAAGTGAATGTTCAGGCGGTATAAAGGCCCTATAAAGTAGAGGGTACAAGACACATTCAAGAAAACCCATGTGGCAAGGAACAAAAAAGAATCAAGACTGGGGACACAGAATCCCAGACCACACTGAGCCTCATATACCAGGCCAAGGAGTTGGGTTTTTAAGAACGAAAGTCGCTCACTATAGGGCATTTAAGCTGGGAGCGACATTTTCATCTTTTGTTTTAACTTTTTTGAAGTAATTTTAGATTCACAAGAAGATGCAAAAATAGAACAGAGTTCATGAGTACCCTCAACCCAGCTTCTCCCAAGAATAGTACCTTATATAATTACAGTACAATAAGTAAACACAGGCAATTAAAATTGGTACAATACTAGTAACTAAACTACAGACCTTATTAGAATTTCACCTGTTTTTATATGCACATGTGTACATTTTTATGAAGTTTCATCATATGCATCGACTTGGGTAACCACCATCACCATCAGGACACACACCGGTTCCATCACCCCGCCAGAAACCGCCCCCAGGCTGCTCCGCTCTCACACTCTTCCATCAACCATAAGCCCTGACAATCAAATGTTCTCTAACATTTTCTCATTTTGTGAATGTTACAGAAACAGAATCATACACAGCATGTAACTTTTTGAGACTGGCTTTTTTCACTCAGCATAATGCCCTTGAAATCCATCAAGTTGTTGGATGTATCAATAGTTGGTTCTTTTTTATTGCTCAATAGTGCTTCGTTTTATACATGTACCAGTTTATTCACTTATCTGTTGAAAAACATTCAGACGGGTTTCAGCTTTTGACAATTCATACTTGTGTTCTGAAAAGACCCTTTTGATGACAGTATGCAGAGTAAATGCAGTGAGGCCATTAAGAAGGATACAGAAACAGTTCAAATAGCAAGTGATAACACCCTAGACACCTAGGGAGCTGAGCAAGAGGGTGAGTCTGCCCCCCAGGGGTCATTTGGCAATGTTCGTAGACATTTTTGGTTGTCAGAACTAGAGGGGTACCACTGACATCTAGTAGGTAAAGACTGGGGATACTGCTAAAAATCGTACACTACATGGGACAACCCCCACATGAAAAAATTACGTGGCTTCAAATATCAATTATGCCACAGTTGAGAAACTTTAGCCTAGGCTAAGGTGATGATAGTGGAGATGGAGAAGAGTGGATTCAAGAAATGTTTAGGTGGTAAGATTCAGTGGTAGACTGGATGTGGGAGCAGTGCAAGAGAGAGGCATGACTTGCTCAACTAGACACACGCTGGTGCCATTCACTAAGACGGGGAACACTGGGAGAGGTCAAGGTGTTTGTCTGATTATCTTTTCGGCGGTGGGGGTGGGGAGGGAAATTATGTAGTGTTTAATATTGGACATGCTGAATTGAAACCCTCTGAACCATCCAAGGAAAGACACTGACATGGTCTGCAGCTTAGAAACCACGTTAGTCTGGGTTTCTTCAGTTTAGTGATAGTCTCTAAAGTCACGTTCTGAGATGAGATTAAGAAGAGAATACCAAATGAAGAGAAGATGACACAACCAATCCTTGAAGAACAGCCAGGCAGAAGACAAGCTTGCAGAGAAGAAATGAGAGATGACCAGAGAGATAGGAAGAAAACCAGGAGACTGTGGTGTCCAAAAGCCAAACAGGGTTCCAAGGGAAAAACAGGTAATAATATCAAAGTCTGCAGATGCGCCAAAGAGGATGATACCTGAAAAATTCATTGGATTTGCCAAACTGGAGACGAACATAGTGAGAACTGTTTCCACAGAAGGAGTGGGGATAGAAGCCAGTTTGAACTGGACTGAGGAGTGCGAGGTGAGGCAAATATGCACAACACTTTCAAAAAGTCTGGTTATGAATAGAGAGGAAAGGTCTATGTCAGCAAGAACAAGGAGCCTGCAAGGCAAAGTCCTTTCATTCACCAAAGGTAGATAACCTGAGATAGAACTAGCCCTCAGGAGATTTTATCACTTCCAGCAAAAGCTCTCTTCATCTTCCCATTTTTCTGTTAGTTATTCATTTCCTACTACAGAGGCTACCAAATCCTTACAGTGGTTAAAGGAAGTCAGATTTAAAGATAACCCGGATGTTTAACATTAACAAATATGTTGGCAAAAGAACTTGTACAATGAATACAACACATAACATGGAATAACTGGGGTCGGCCGAGTGGCGCGTTGGTTAAGACTTGGCTTGGGACGCCAGCTCTGAGCAGCAGGACCCCGGTTCGGATCCCACTTGAGGGTCAGTGATGCTGCGCCCTCTATAGCTAAAATGGTGAACAACAGCTCAACCTGGAGCTGGGCTGCCAGCAACAGCGGCGGCTGCAGTGGGGCTGGCCGGCAGCCAGCAGCTGCCAACAGCCGCAGTGAGCGGCTGTCCAATGGCCAGCGAGTGACTGCCTCACCCGGGAAGAGCGCAATAATAATACCAATATGGGTCAGTGAAGCGACGTCCTCCACAACTAGACTGAAGAACAAAAGGATAGCAACCTGTCTGTTCCCCTCCCCCAATTCCCCAATAAAATCTTTAAAATCAAAACAAAACATGGAATAGTTGTTCAATTTCTTTCAGTCTTTAAGAGCTTTACTATTTGAGAACTGGCTTAATGACAATATTGGGTCAACGCTGTATACATAAATGTAGTACCTTCTAAGTAAAAGCTATTGTGATAAAATAACAGCAAAGTGTCAGAGTGGGGAAAGGTTTGAGTGCTCAAGTCTGGGCACACAAGTAATATTAATGTATCAACATTAAAGTGGATGGCTACTTATACAGATACAAGAAAAGAAATGGAATAATGGAGCTTTGATAACCACAAAAGCCCTGAAAGCAATTATTATTGCTGATGTACTATTGATGCAAACATGGTTCATACTACAAAAGTGGACGCTAGAGCAGGGTCTGGGTTTTGGCTCTGCATTCTCAGTTCTGATCCCAAAATAAATTTCCATACATGTTCACTACATTAAGTAGCGGCTGTACAGGAGAAAGACGGGAATGCCAAAACGTGTGATGTTCGAAGAAATGTAACGGTTGTCTCTTAGGACAACTACTTTGAATGACAAAACCTCTCTTCGATACAAATTCTGCCAAACTAGGCTATGCGTTCTCCAGTAAATTTGCCTGAAACAGGTCCCAGGAGCTAACAAAGAGCAGAGTACGAAAGCCCCCTGGAACTGACCCGGGAACCTGCGAGAAAAGAAGCTACTTTCCATTGCCGGTCCCAGTTTGTGGACCTAAGGAGTTTCCAAAGCAGGAGCGGCCTCCCCCCCAGGCTTTGCCACGTCTCCAGGCCGGGCTGGGCTGGGCTAAGGTCAGCGGGCGCCAGCCGCCGGTCTTTCTCCTGAGGCCAGAGCGATGGAAGGTGGAGCCAAAGGGTCTTGTCCCTGAACAAGACCAAAGTGCCGGAACAAGCCCCCGAACCGCAACCGCAGTGCACCCCGCGCGGCGGGGTCGGTCTGCCTAGCGAAGCGCACCAGAGCCCAGGCTGCACTCTGCATGCTCCCACAGCCCGCGCCCGGAATGAGCGACTGCGGGGCTCCAAGCAGGCCCTCGCCGACAGCGGCGCCGGCCGGCCCACCTCGCAGGGACTGCGCCCTGCGGCGCCCGGCTTTGGGGCCCACATCCCATGCCGCCGCCTCCCGCACGCACCCGCGCTGCTCACAGGCTGACGCTCACCTGGGGGCCCGAGAGAGTGTCTGCGTGGCGGCCGAAACGTGGGGGACGGGGAAGTCAGGATGTTATAACACTACGGCTCGGAGAAGACGAGGAAGATGCAGACAGAAATTCCTTCCGCAAGTCCCCGCCTCCAAGATGGCCACCGGCGGCGCACGCCCCTGCGGCTGCCACGTCGGCGCACGCCGCCCCGCCTCGCCCCGCCCCCTCCTTCTCGCAGGAACCTCGTCCCCAGGTCACGGGTGGAACCTGTCTGAGTACCTCGGTCCGAAGATCCTCTTGCCCGCCTGGGCTTGGCGCTGCCTTTTTCCGGCAGCATTCCCTAAATCGTCCTTTCCATTCCGCAATCCCCAAACGCAAGAATGACACCCTTCTTACCAGGAGTAGCTCACATATCCTGTCCCCTGGGAGCCAGCCAAGCTCATCTAGCCCAGTCCCCACCTCCAGGCAGGCCCTCACTCCAGAAACTGGAGACTTATCCTATGTATCTTCAAAAATTTCCAGATAACAGCAGTTGCATTCAGGAGAGAGAGCCGAGTGGGGAAAAGGTAGCAACTACTGTACTGATTTCTTCCCCACCCCCAAGTATATGTATTACACATTCTTTTTTTTTTTTTAAAGAAAAACCAAAGACAAAGATTATAAACTTTCTTAACCTTATATGTACCACTTAAAACAGTGCCTGAAACTGTTGGTGCTGAAACAGCAAGAATATACATTAAATAAATTGATGAATTGAGTGCAATGGAGGAAAAGAAGGAATTTAAAATCAGAAGTCCTGGTTTAGGTCTGGGACTACCCTGATGCCAGTTGTGCAGTTGTGTGACCTTGTATAAGTCACTTAGTTTCTGTAAGTCTCCATATTTCTAACTGGGAATAATATTATCTGCCATGTCTAACTCAGGCAGGTAACGCAGTCAAATAAAAAAAATAAGGCATGTGAAAGCACTTTTTAAACTGCTGAGTGTTAAACACTGAAAAATGTTGTTTTTGTTTTTCCCAAATTCCTTCAGGAACCCATTCATAGATTTAACATTAATTTATCTCTTGGATTTGACAGTTGTAAGCGTTCTAAAATGCCTCACAGAAAAATTAATACTATTTAATTATGCCTTGAGTTCAGATCTCTCTTTGCAACTACAATGGGTTGTTCCCTTTGGTGGTGACGCTCATCCTGTCCACTGAGAATGTGTGTAGGTGGCTGTCTAGGTTACCCTCCAGAGTGCTGTTTGGGGTGGTGCTGAAAATAGTTATCATCTTCATTCTCTTTGGTCACACCCTAAATAGCTAAAAGGTCTTTTGGTTTCTTTATTCATTCAACAAATATTTTTTAGTGGCTACAGTATGCAGAGCATTGGTACCAGAGATGTAGCAATGAACAAGACAGACAAGGTCCTAACACTTAGATTTTATTCTCATAGGAGAGAAAGGCTATGAACAGGAAAGTAAACAAAGGAAGTACTGTTTGTGATGGGCGTCTTGAAGAAAATCGATAAGGTGATGTGATACAGTAATTGGGGTAGGCCACTTCACATAAGATGAATCTGAGGGGCTTCTCAGAGGAGGTGGATTTGAATAGAGACCTGTAAAGATGCAGGCCTGACGTTATCTGGACAGATGTAAGAGCACAGAAAAGCTCTGAGGGAGAGGAAGTGCTTGGTTTGTTTGCAGAATGCAAGGAAATTGGGACTGGGAAAGTGGTAAGAAATAAGGTCAGAGAGATAGCAAGGCCAGGTAATACCTAGCCTTGTGGGCCATGATAAGGCCTTTGGGTTATATTTTGATAGAAATGAAAACCAGGAGGAAGGTTTTGAGCAGAGGACTGACAATATTTGACTTCAGTTTTAAATCACACTCTGTATGCGATGTGACTTTAGGGGGTACAAGGACTAAAGCAGGATGACCAGGAATGAGATGACGGTGGCTTAGAGTAGCTAAAGGGGACAGGGAGGTGATGGATGGTCTTGGACATATTTTGAAGGATGAGCTGTCATGATATACTGATGGATTGGATGTGGGCTGTATTAGTTTCCTAGCACTGCCTAAACAAATACTACAACTGTATGGCTAAAAACAACTGTTCTCTCACATCTCTAGGGGTCAGAAGTCCAAAATCAAGGGTCAGCAGGGCCTCTCTGAAGGCTCCAGGAGAGAATTCTTCCTTGTCAATTCCAGCTTCTAGAATGATGCAAGCATTCCTTGGCTTGTGGCAACATAATGCTAATATCTGCCTCTGTCTTCACATGGTCTTCTTCCTTGTGTCTGTCTCAAGTCTCCCTCTGCCTTTCTCTTATAAGCATACCTGTCATTGCATTTAGGGCCAACCTTAAACCCTGAATGATCTCACATCAAGATCTTTGAAGGGCTAGACCCTATTTTCAAATAAGGTCACAATCACAAGTTCCAGGTGGATATATCTTTTGGGAGTGAGAGGGCACAATTCTACCTACTATTGGGTTGTCGGAAAAGTCATGATGCAAATTTGCAACAAAAAACAGAAAAAATACGTCATGACTTTTCCGACAACCCAATATATGGGCCATGGAGATAGGAGTCTACTAAATAAAATTATAAGATGATTTTTGAAGGTGTTCATCTTGAATTGCATGTATAATATTTTATGTTTTACTTACCACTTCTCATGTAAACTGCAAAAGAACTTTATGTAGGACATGTTGTTGTTATTATTATTATTATTATTCCAATATTATAAATAAGGAAACTAAAGCTCTATGTAACAATTCTGTGTAAACGTGGAATTGGAATTCAGAATTCTTTAGCTGTATTCCAGCTTCATGCCTGCTGTTGGGGTGGTAAGGTAAGAAAATATGTTAGATGGAGGGCATTGAAGGGCATCAGTGGAAAATGACAGCTTAATCACAGGACAAAGACTGCTCCATTTTTTTTTTTAGTTATTGCTAACATAACTCATGAAATTTTTCCTTATGGGAAGTTTCTATTACACAACAGAGTTCATTTCTGAGGTATAATGACAGATGCGTACTTTAGTGGAACTTTTCTATTACTGCACACAGGCAAACAAAACAATTTCCCCCTTGAGTTGAGAGTTAAATATTCCTAAAACAGTCCATAAAATTTATAATATTCATATTAATATCATATGAATAGGGAAGCGTGTATTTTCAGGTGAAGAGGAGCGAGGCTGAGCCTCTGAGCATCTGCGGCATAACCAGGAATAGAGGCAGAGCTGAATCTGGCTTGAGAGCTGATGGCTCTGCTGATAGAACAGTCCATGTGTTACACAGCCACCAAGGACACTTCAGCAGATGTGTCAGGGTGCTGGCCAAGACAGAAGGCAGGGCCCATCCCTACACCCAGCCCATGCAAAGAGGACATGTAAGTTCCCTCAACAACTAGGAAGCGGGAGGAGGGTTGTCCCAAACCTTGCATGGGACATATTTGTACTAGACAATTACTCATTGTTATCTGGAATTCAAATTTAGGAGCCAAAAAAGTTGTGACTTAGAGTCTGAGAGGCGGCATAGTATAGATTAGGACATCAATATTGGTACCAGATAACCTGGATTTGAATCCTGGCTCTAGCACCTGCTAAGTCAACACCTAACCTTGGGCATGTCATTTAAAGTCACTGTGTGTAGGTTTTCTTCATGTGTAAAATGAGAACTGATATTAACACCTACCTCAGAGTATTTACTTGAGGATGAAATGACTTACTATGTGTGAAGCACTGGCTAGAGTGCCTCACACAGTATTCTCCATATAGGTGTTAGCTCTTAATCTTTGACTTTCAAATTGTGTAAAGATTCACCTGATAATGACTGATATAAATCAAAAAGACTTTTATTTAGGTGAGTCTGAGTTGTAATTTCTGAATCAAGGTTTTATTTGCTTGTTTTCAATGAAAGAAAAGTTAATTTAGTTATAAACAGACTCTACCCCCTCAGTTTGCCCAGGACACTCCCCATTTGGGGCTATTGTCCCAGTATAATTATTAAGGGTACCCATCTTTTATTCTCAAAAGGGTTCTAGTTGGGATAATAGATCTTAAGGTCATCCTAGTTACAGAGATATTAAGCAGTTGTTATTCTTGCACATGTGAGTGCAAAATATAGTGGGCTCATTAATGATAACCAATGTACCATTGTGAATGTAAAATATTAATAATAGAGGGAACTGGTATGAGGCATAAGGGAATTCTCTGTATTATCATCTTGATTTTTCTGTGAATCAAAAACTATTCTGAAAAATAAAGTTTATTTAAAAAAACAAACTCCTTTGAGATAGCCTCGACTCCTCACTATCTCTGACCCTCTACATCCACTCCTTCAGCAAATCCTCACTCAGTATTTGACTGCACCCCCTCCGCTCTGCTGTTATCACCCGAGCCCCGACTTGATCATCTCTCACTTGGAAGCCTTCACTAGCTTCCTAAGGGCCCACCGGCTTCCACGCCTGCCTATGAAGTCCTTTTCCAAAGGGCTTTCCC